GGGGATGCCCTCTGTTGGCCATCTTGAGTCAATACCCTGAGAGTCTCCTCCAGTTGTTTCTTCCTAAGATAAGCGTTGCACCATGGAGTCAGTTAACCGAATGCCCATTAGGTGTCTCCCTGCCCCACACTGGAACCGCGTCCTGTCAGCCAGGAGCGCGGAGCCCTGCCTGAGCGTGAAGGCCATTCCCTCACTGCAGTGTACTCCCGCCCTTCTGAGATAGCTGATAAGCACGCCTTCTTTAACTCAGCATTTCCAGATGCTGGTCTGATAGAGGTCAGGATGGAGGAGAGAACCAGAGTTGTAGTACTGGTTTCTTTAAAAAACAACAAAACAAAACAAACAAAAAAAAAACACTGGCAGTAGTTTATAAACATTGTACCCACGGAGAGCATTCCTCAGACTCTGCAGAATTGTAGGGAAAATGATGGAGAACAAGGGGGTGTTTTGGCATCCTTCTATTCAAACTGCATACGTGGCGACTGGTCTTGCCAAGCCATTGGCTTCTCCGAGAAGTAGCCAAAATGTAGAAGACATCAGTGATACCAGAGGTCAAACACCTTCATTTATGCTTTGGCAAAACTATTGGGTTAAATAGTGAAGGATCATTTATACTTAAAAATGAACCGGAAATGAAGAGAGGGTCCATCAGCACTTTTTAATATGCCGTCACTGGGGCAAAAATGTGAAGCATTTTCAACAGTAGAAAACTATTTAGACCACAAGCATACTTACACATCTAGAGATTATAAACACCTTTCAAAGTAAATATGTAAGAGATGAACCTGAAATATAAAATTCCCAAACCTGTAGTGTATTATTCGTCTTTTACAATTAAAAACTGTCCTAGAGGCTAGAGCCCTTTTCTTAAAGCAGAGTCTTGCTATATTTTTATTTTTTTAATTTTTTTTAAAAATATATTTTATTGATTTTGTACAGAGAGGAAGGGAGAGAGATGGAAAGCTAGAAACATCGATGAGAGAGAGTCATCCATCAGCTGCCTCTTGCACACCCCCTACTGGGGATATGCCCTCTTGCTATATTTTTAACAGTAATGCAATAGGAATGCATTTTAAGTACAGTTCATATGGACATTTTAAACTAGTCGTCATAATTAAGTAAATACCATTGATAACCAGTAATTATTGGTTATATCATGTTAACTTGAGTTGGATGCACAGTTTGCTGACCTTGGCATCAATGTTTATTATTTGAAAGTCATTAATAAGTGCTTCCTTCTGTTTCAGATCTTCGGCATGATATTCAGCATGGTCCTTTGCTGCGCGATACGGAACTCACGAGATGTGATATGAAGCTGCTTCTACGTGAACATTTCCATTTAGAGCTTTCCTATAAATGTCACAGGAGCTGTCTCGTTTTTAATATTCAAAGGACATTAGGATCTAAAATAATTTGCTGTTGATTGTACATTTGCACATGTATGTATGCTTGGCTTGTACTGATTTACCCCTCGAGTGAATGCCTGTGTCTGTTGACTGAGATCATGTTCGTGTGTGACCTATGTGCTTCCGGTATATGCATTATATAGAATGAAGTCGGTTTGCTGGGGATTCTTGATTCTTGTTATAGGGTGAAAGAAACAACCTGTTTAACTCTCAGAAAAAGGTCAAAAGCTTTGAGAAACTTAAAAAAAAAAAAAACTTGGTTATGCATAAAAGAATAATAACGGATCGGTTTCTCAGAGTCCAGCCACAGAAAGTTAGGACAGAGAACCCAGGGATTTCTAGGTAACAGAAGCAATAAGCTGTGGGAAGGGAGAGATCACAGTGCAGGGCTAACATTGACTATGTCTGAGGAGAGTGGAAGGGTTCCTGGGATTTTTTTATACACATACTCTCTCCTGAATACAGTGAACCACAGTTTTAGAACTAAACACATCTGTAAAACTAAACATAGCATGGAAAATCTAATTTGAATAAGTCATACTTTCCTAGTATTTAAAAACCTCCCTCTGGAAAGAGTGGTCACACAGACAATCATGTGTCCTATAAAAGCAAGTGTTTTATAGGACTAAAAAAGAAAAACTTTTAACTACTTTTTAAGAAAATATTTTTGTCTTCCTATAAAGATGTTTAGATATTGCTTTATTCCTTTTTCTCTGACGCTGCTTTGAACTACTGCAGCCCTCACTCACGTCCACAAAAAGGCTTTTCTCTCCAGCTTGTGTGTCTCCATATGCAGGCCAGGAAGACTCGAGTAAGAGGCCTGGCAGTTGGACAATGTAGGGAAGAGAATTTTTACTGGCACTGTATCTTTAAAATACCTCATCACTTGAGTTTACATATTTTCTTATTTATTCATCTAGAGAATTCTTCATAGATTGAGAACAACAGTTTTCACCCTTGAAAATGAATAAAACAAAATTCTAAGTCAAATATTATATCATGAGTGTCCTTGGCCAACCCAACACAAACAAAGACAAGCATGTCTCCCGGTTGTGTGCACACAACAGAGATAGCCTAAGCAAACAGAAACGTTTCCACACTCAGCAGAGATCTGGTTAGTCAATGCGCATCCCCCATAAAAATAAAACCGTCATGTTCTTCTATGGTTTTGATACTTCCTTGTAAGAACATAAACCCAAATTTAGGAAATAAATCGATAAATTTGTTCATTTTTAACAACTCGGTACATTTAGCAAATAAATCCTAGAGGTTTTTTTAATTATTGCATTTTTTAAAGCCACCCAAAGTGAAAGTGCTAGGGACTTTGGAAATACCCAGGTAAGGGTGTGCACATGTGAGAACACAAGGCTTCGGGTGTGCTCTTACAGGAAAGTTTGTCAAACCGTTTGCATGAGGAGGCTTACCCATCTGAAATGTTTCACTCCCATGGAGAACCACATGTCCCCTCTGCCATACTTACCACTGCTACTAGGCTTTTCTAGAAAAAACAGATTGGAAGCGAGCTAAAAATTGGATTTCGCATAGCTACTTGACTGTTTCTATCGCCAACAGAAATATTATTTAAGGAAACAATTCGTGAAATAGCAATGTCTACCCCAGTCGTTGAGAAATACCACCTTTTCAGCGGAGAACACACAGTCTGTCCCTCCCTCTCAGTGGCTTCAGTTCCTCTGTCTGCTTGAAGACAGGAAACGGGCCCAAGTGCACACTCAGGTCTTCCAGCTCAGACTCAGCTTGGAGCCAACCGAAGGGAGTTCTGTTGTTTATCTGAACAACCAACCTTCAAAAAGATCACACCGGTTAAGAGTAGAGATATGTGCCATATATGATAAATGTGCCATATGTGATTAATGTATATCTCTTGAATATATATACGTATATAACTTGAATAGATGTATACACGTGTACGTGTGTGCATGCATATACACATATGTGTACATATATGGACACACACACACACATATATATATAAACGTTTGGTTATGTCTGTCTACCTGAACTAATCTGAGGTCAGGCCCAAACATATTCTTAAGCATCTGGTGCCAAAACACTGAATTAAAACTCTTGAAATATTTTAAGTTATTTCAAATTAAATTTTCTATGAACTAGAATTGCTTGTTTGGTTTATCTTAAAATCCTATTAAATCCCTATGCACACCTTCACACAACCCATCTGGAGGCCCAACTACCAGTCCACCCAAACAATATGACGGACAAAGGAAATAGTGGGAACCCTCAAGAGTGGTAACTCTTGGGAGCTGGACGGAAAAGCAACACCCTAAGAACTTTCGTTGCATATAGTTATATTTCAATTACTATTGTTTCACCCAATTTATACCTTTTCCCCGGAATAGCTCCTTTGCTGTCCATGGTTTAATCTAAAATTGCACACTTGATGCAGGGTCCAACATGGTCCCCATGCAGTCATCAAAGGTCGCTGCTCTCCTTTCCCCTACGAAGAACACTAATAGGTTTCCTAATGAGAATGAGGCTGGTGGGGAGGTGGCAGTGAAGGAGACAGCATATGTTCCCTTCTGAAGCAGGTTTATCAATGATTAGAAGAGGCAGCCTCTGTATCATGGGTAAAACGTGGTTTCCCTGGCTCCGAGGACAGCAATTGGAAATTTAGGAGGCACACCCCGACTTTCCTGATTCACTGCTCCCTTAGCATCTGCTTTGATCACCAGCCCCTGATTTTCAGCACCCCGTTCCCCCTCCCTATGAGGAAGCACTCATGGCCTTTGAAGCTAGCCAATTAATGACATCATCTTAGTTCAGACTCATCAAAAGCGAATTTGTGTTAAGGTATATTTTAAGGAAGACAAAGGTTTTCTATTTTTTTTTCAACATTACTCATTATGTTTTCCTATAAATTATAGCTATAAGTATTGTAGGTAGATATCCTTTCAGAGGTAAAGACTACAGCAATGCAAAATGTATCATTTTGTTGATGTCCTCATTTTAACAATGAAGGCTAAATGCATTCTAAGAATCCAAACAAAATGTGGCAAAGCAAAATCAGTGCTGATTTCATGTTTTTAGCTAATGCGCCAGAAACCCTTCCAAAGCTTTGGTAATTTTTTCCTATATCATTTCTGTTGGCTTTACTTATATTAAATAAAAGATTTAAATTAAAAGAAGTTGCCAACAAACCTGGCAATTAATGAATATTACTTATTGGTTTAATTATGTTGTCAGGGAGAGTTTTGTTAAATATAAATCAAACATACATAATCATGTGTAACTGAAGATACTTCTACAAATACCTGTTTAAACATATTCATTTTAATGAATAGCTTTCAATATATTTCTCAATTCTATTTTAACTCAAAGGCTTGGTATGAATAGCCCAGCCCGAGCCTGAGCCTGCTCTGCCTTCTAGGAGGCAACCCACTCTGATGTTAGAATTCTTTTCCTTTGTTTTTGGGCTACTGTTTTGTACAGTTGGGAAAAACTATAACAATACTGATATGCTGAGATGAACAAGACAATCTCTACCCTCAAGAAAGTGTGGCCGAGACCAGTTTGGCTCAGTGGATAGAGCATCGGCTTGCGGACTGAAAGGTCCCAGGTTTGATTCTGGTCAAGGGCATGTACCTTGGTTGCGGGCACATCCCCAGTGGGGGGGGTGCAAGAGGCAGCTGATCGAAGATTCTCATCGATGTTTCTCTCTCCTCCTCTATGTAAAAAAATCAATAAAATATACATTAAAAAAAAAAAAAGAAGTTTAGTGTGGGGAAGAGCTGGCAAGTTGCCTTCTCATAAGGTAAGTGCTATGATGATCATTAACCCAAAGCCAACCCACCCAACCTTGGGGAGGATGGTCATGGGAGAGAAGTTTCCTAAACTTTGAGATCTCTAAACTGAGTCCTGAAGAACTCAAAGAAGAGACAGGGATGTTAGGAAGGCAAACATGTCAGCGGGGAGGAAAGTAGCAGAAGAAGGGACACGGGGTTGTTTTCAAAGATAAATACTAATTAACTGGAAAAAAGAGTAGCTAAGAACCAACATTGCACAACAGGGCTAGAGAAGAAGTTACTTCAATAAGAGAAATGTTATTGCACTTATACTTGCTGCTCAAAACAAGAAAGAGAAGCAATTTCTATGTAAGAGAGAATTTTTATTACTTGAATTTCCCGTGATCAAGAAGCTTATGCTATTACCTGTCAATATATCCATCCAGGTCCATTCTCTTTCTCCTGAAGAGCTTGGCCTTTAGAAAAGCAGATGGCTGCACTCATCCCAAATCCATTTAGCCATCCCAATATCCCTTTATATTTCATAGTCCAATGAGGAACAAGAGGGATTTTTTTAAAGCGCTGATCTCAAACTTCCTCTGCAAGAATGGACTCTTTTAAACTTTTGGTTGAATTTAAAGACCACTTCAGAAGATATTCCAAAGTTTCCATCTTTCTCTCATTACACAAGCAATGGTCCTTCCCTTTCCCATTTCTAAGCTCTCTCTTCTTTCTGACTCTTATACCCAAAGAATACCCTCCAAAATAGCATTTCCCTATGTCCAAGATTCTGGATCCAGTTGAAGCAAATTGTTGGTCATTCCAATCCCTGAGCTCTCTCCTAAGGATTCTTTATCTTGGACAACTCCACTTACAAGTATAGTTTAATGTAATGTGTATGTGCATCTATCACAAGTGGATTGTGCCTTCCATGGAAGGGAATAAGGTGACTCTGATGGCCTCGAGTTCTGTGGCCCACATGGCACAGGCCCAGCGCACGTGCTATGATATCTGGCCTCCTCCCTTCGGATGGAGGAAGCCCACTGAAGTAGAGTTTTCTGAGTTGGACTATTGACAAGTGGCCTCCCTAAACGTCCCATTCTTTCCAAAGTTTAGTTCTTGGAACATATTTTTCAGATTCCATGAAAATCATATGTGATTAGTGCCAGTGCGTTTGAACATTAGGTCGTTTTACCCGTTAATCAAATATCTGTATTTGATAGACAGTTTCCAGAATGAATGTTATATAATCCTGCAGCTTGAAGTATCTATGTGATCAAGTGACACAAGAACCCAAAGCTCTGAATTCGTATTTGGAAACCATGTTGATATCAACTTCAGATATGAAGGTAAAAATAATTCATAAATTCCTGACTTTGTATGTAAGTGTACAACCATTCCCTCCTCCATTGGAAGAGCGTGGGCTTGACACTAATCCACCTACACCACCACATCACCCCCAAGGGCACTGTCAGCACGTAGGTATTTACAAGATTCCCAGCCAAACACAACCAGAGACTGTGGAGTATAGCAAAGCCAACTGTCCCTGCTCTCAGCTGATTTTCACCCTGATGATAGCAACAGTTTGGATGGAGAGAAATGGGCAGGTCCGGGATAAATCATCTCTTTGAGGTCAAGTCTGCAGGGCACTAGACCTGCCTCACTTCGCACATCTAATTAAAACCAAACCCTCACAAAACAGTACCTACGGAAGGAAGAGAAAAAATAAACATCCCTTACCAAGCACATTGGCCAGAAAACAGTGTTTCAATATTGATCATATGTAGGTTAGAATTTAGGAAGATTCTACTCTATTAAAATCCCTTAGCACTTTTCCCCAGTCCCTAAAATCTTTCATAATCATATTAGGTTTTCATGACATCAAAAGCCAAAACAGTACAAGGTGCTTTTGGTATAAATGTTAGAAACTGTCTCTTGTTACTTGAAAGACTACAGAGGATTTAGAAGTTCACATGTAAAATGATCGTGGCCTCTTTTCCAGGCGTTCGGGGTATAACTTTCATAAGTCAGTCAGCCCACAGAGAAATCAAATCAAATTAAAGAGAACAGTTCTTCAAATAGAATGCACTGCTAATGAGTTTTGGTGACGTTTGATCCTGTGCATTTGAATGAGTAGGATAAAGTACCATATTGCAGCTTTCGCCTATTCCACCTCCATTCCAGTCCTCTGGAAGTTGATAGTAGCACGGTCTCCAAATATTAATCTGGGGCTTTGGGTTCTCATGTCACTTGATAACATGGACACTTAAAGCTGCAGGATTATAACATCCCCTCTGATAACTGTATATCAAACACACATATTTAATTAATGGGTAAAGAATCTAATGTTCAAACCTACCTGCACCCTAAAGCCAAGTGTTCCTTCGGCTTCCGATCACATTAGCCATCCCTTAGAACCGCAGCCTTCCCATATTCATTTTCTGTGTCAAGTCAGAGTCCATGGCCCTCTGCTCAAACAGCTTGTCAAACATTGGCTTTCACTAGTGTTTCATGTCCTTGTTCTCCATTTACCCTGCACGTCACCCCTCCATGTGGCAATCATCCTTCAGTCACCTTTTCCTGCAGCGCCCCTCGGGTCTCTCAAGCATGCATAGGTACAGGTATGGACGAACCAGCACTCAACATATACACAATGTCTTGTGAAGTATATTGATATGTTATTAGCTTTATTCCAGGCAAATACAGTTAACTGCACTTCAAGTTACAGTCTATTGAAGTCAGATAGAAAGTCCCAGCACATAGGCCTGCTGAGGCTTGGTACAGTAGTTTGTCTTGCTGATCTCATGTACACAGTCACTATAGTCAGTATTGCACTTGCCACACTTACAGCTCACAGCTATGGGGAAGGAGAAGTAAGGACTAACATGGCGTGGACATCCGGGTATCTCCACGGTCTTGTAGATGAGGTCTCTGTATGTACACACATCCTGGGACAGAGCATATTTGGGGAGAAACTGCTTGCCATTGATATCCTGAGGAGAGAACAGAAAGAGCAGCATAGTGTAATAGTACTTTAAGATGCATATAGTCAATGGCAACAAACAAAAATTAACTCACTCACATTATTTTTGTCACTAATAGGACTGGGGGAGGATTCCTCAGTCCCATTCTCTAATACCCTCTCAACACATCCGCACTGAATCCCATAGAGACAAATGTGGCACACACACCCTTTTATCCTTGACCATGGAAACAAGATAAGGCTTAACCAAAGTTTGGAAGTAAGCTGTTCTAAAATTATCTGTGCCCACTGTGCTGAGTAGAAACATAGACTATAGTAACCTGTGCCCTCTGCTTCTAAGGAGCCGGTTACCATTAGATTTGGAAAATGAGGTTGTGATTTATCTCGGTCCCTTTCTGCTCAGAGATGGACAAAGTCTAGGTTTACGAATGTACAGATAAAAGAAGGAAGATGAACTACATACCCGTGTCATACAATATCCGGCACAGATGGTGGTGTTGATGGTTAGGCAATAATCACACTCTTTCCTTTCAACGTGCATCATATACTCAGTTGGAATACAAAAAGACGTTGCTTGCCCACACACAAGGCCGAAAAGCATGGATATCAGGAAGATAGCAGTCATGCTAAATTGAAGATAAAATTAAAGGATCTATTAGATGTATCCTTTAGGATATTCAGAAAAGACATTTGGAAAGAGCCAAAAATACGTATATTTTAATACTATGCCTATATTGTCCTAGGATCTATACGAGGTGTTTTTACATAGCTAATACTCTCGGTGATTTTTCTTTATACACTGAAATGTGGCTCTGATCCACATGCCCCACAGAGGAATGGCAAGCCGGAAGCACCAGGAAAGTGACAGACACATGTGCCAGCTAAGTGTACAACATCCATTCAGTGACAGCAATCCTAATACTGCCTCTCTGACTAGAAGTGAATGAACAGCTAGGCTTCAGTAAGTGCTTTCCCAGAACTCTAGTTTAAAAAAAAACAAAACACTTTGGTTAAAAAGCCAACAAATGGGTCATAATCAGAAAGGGCAAAGAAACCAAGAAAATGTATAATCAAACATTAGTACCATCTCAATACAAATAATCTCGCATAATATTTTACTCATTGCCTTTCAAGAAAGACAAGATGAAGCTACAGAAAGTCCAGAAAACATTAACATAAAATTAGGAGCTAACCCAGAAATCTAGATACTCTCTTATTCCATCCTTAGGATATTCCTCTAGTGCTGAAAGAAGTAGACTTGGACATATAAAAATTATGTTACTCAGAAGATGCATGAAATTCATTATCTTAAAAAGATTTCAGACGCAGCCCTGGCGGATGGCTCAGCAGGTTGGAGCTTCATCCTATACACCGAAAGCTTGCCGGTCAGGCCTCATGCCCAGGCTGTGGGCTCAGTCCTCAGTAGGAGACACACAGGATGCAGCCGATGGATGTTTCACTCTCACACTGGTGTTTCTCTCTATCTCTCTCCCTTCCTCTTTCTCTAAAAATCAAGAAAAATATATTTTGAAAAAATGTTTCAGATGCAAAAATTATAGGTTGACACAGTGAGAATAATACCATCAAAGATGGCAGATACATTGTGGGCTTGGCAGGAGACTAAAATATGTTTGGCTGCACAGAAGATACCAGAGGGTCCATGTGCCTCGGTCAGAAGAACAAGTATCTCAAGAGAGCCTGGCCACTGAAAGAATGTGTTCAATATCCACCGGCATCATAATGAGCTGGATAATGTTTACATAATTATTTTAGCTCTGCCGCTGAGAGCAGGTGATCCAGACTTTTAAATGTAAAGTGGTCACTTCAAAGATTAAGAAGATTGTTTTACCTCACAAACATGGTACAGTTAGCTAGGTATATTGGCATTTTTTTCCTTATTAGGTATCACTGTGAGAAAATAAAATATTTATCTTAATGAAGTAGTTCCCTTTGAACACAAACTTGTTTGCTTTTTCTATTACATATGGTATAATTCACTAAACATTTTTATTCTATAAGAAGTGTATCAAGATTTTCTCATATCTATTCATTATATCCCAATACTATCTATCAGCTGCATATACTAAGATATCCATCAACTGAAATTTCAGAGACTCAGCCACAGTTAACCAGAATTCATCTTTAATTAACTTTTTAAGAGAAAACTAAAACCCCATTCAACAGACCACCAGAGATAAACATTTCTGCACTCCTACTGCCAGAATGAGAATTGCAGATAAATTAGATAAGCATATATTGAGCATGGAAACCAGGCACTGAGAGATACAAAATGCTTAGGCTATCTTGTCCTTGACCTCAGGGCTGACAGTCCAATAATGGATGAGAGAAGTATGAACAGACACTAATAATAAAAATGCATATTGTTCTACGTGCTCTGAAAGAGTCCAAATTATGACTCTAAAACCCCCAAGTGTTATAGATCAGGAAGTAAACTAACCCGTTAAGAAGGGTTTTCTAGGGAACTCTTTTAAGCAAAATGCTACCTATTCAGGCTTTCCTTGGAAGTTTGTTGGCATTTCAATTTGGGACAGAAAACATAAGAACTCATTGCTCATGGGACCTGGTTTTCTCACATGTTTCACAAATGTGAGCTCCTTGGATGTAGAATTGGCTCCTTATTTTAGAGCCACAGACTTGGAGGATCCTCTGCACAATCTTAAAAATATCAATTGAGTGCATTACATGAAATGCTCACCAGTCCCGAGCATATGGTTCTTGCCTGACTAGCCAGCCAGCTACTGGGCTTTTGCCATAGGAAATCATTAACTTCACGTTTTAACCTTTAGCTCTATGATGCTATGTATGTAAAATAGATGTGTGACAGCCTAATGGTGAGAATATTGGTCCTGGATTAAGGAATACAATTGTATTTTAAGAACTTCAGGAATCTATGAGAAATTGACTAAAATATTTCATCGGTCTGGGTCTTATTTCCCCAACTGCAAAACGGGGGGTGGGGGGAGTACACCTAACCTTTTTTAAAATTGTAGAATAAACAAAAACTATTTTGGATTTTTACCCATTGCACTGAAAATAAAAAAGATGGAAAAAATATTCATTTTGGACACTAAACATGTTTTCAAAGTTCCTTTTTTAAATATAAAACTCTAAACGAACAAAAGGAAATTTTCAAAGCACTGAATTATCAGCAAAGTAGGTATATTACTTTATGGATGTAAAGAAAGTGAAATTTATCCTTTTTCCTTAACTGCAAATAATAAAACTCTACTTAAAAAATCTTCTAAGCCTCAAGTTCTTTATCTAGAAAAGCAAAGCTTAGAACCAGAAGATGATCAGGAAGTTCTTTTCAGTACAAAGAGTCTGTGATTCTGTGTGATAAATTAGTGTCAGACTTCTGGTCTGAGAGTTAGTGACCTAGAATTCTGCTTCCAAATTTCATTGTAATGTGTGTCACTGAGCAACTTAATAACTTTGTGCCCCTCATTTTTCCATGTGCTCTATCCTAAATTCATTTAAAAAAAATAGAACAATACATATGATGAACTTAGAATGCTACAGAAGATTATATTAATATATATAACTATACATATATATCACTATGATCTGCCACAATTTCTCTTTTATCACCAGATTCTTATCTTGGCAACTTAATTGCCTCTTTTAACATTATCACAAATTATTTACATACAGCATGATTTTAGGCCCTAACTAATAAGAGATGCTTTTTTCAGGGGGATACCCATATAGGTCTACACTTCCAATGTTTCTCTTATTCTAAGCTATTTTCTTTTTTTGCCCCTTATTCCACTTTTTCTTTCCTTTTTTTCCCTCTCACTACCTTCATTCTCAATGAGCACATCTCTCTCTGCTCTGCCAATTCCTCCACCAATTTTTTTTTTATCTCCAAATCCCTTACTACATTATGAAAAGAATCAACTGTCCACCCTATAAATAATCCAGGAACTTTACTAAAGCAACACATTATTTTAGAGAGTAAAATGTTCTATATGCACAGGACACTGTCCAAAGTGGGATAGCTATTAAATGACTGAAATAAGACACAGTAAATTACACCCACAGATACTCAAAATTTTCCCCAGAAGTATATCATCAAAGATAACCATTAGTAATTGACATAATTTAATAACATATTATTCAATTGATAAAATTATTTCAATTGAAATGTAAATAGGAAGAGAAAGCCATGAACATCAATCAGGGAATTAATCTCTTCTAGTTAATAGAATTCTTTCCACATCTTTATATATGTAGTTCACTCAACTTCACTTGACATTCAACCATTTTGGAGCAATCATTAAAATTCTCAGAGCCAATCCAAAGTCTCACTCAACATTTGCCATTTTTTAATAAGTGCTAAAATGGTGAAGTGGAAAGAGAACATTTCATTTTGCAAAACCTTCTCCGTGTAGACACCTACCTTACTTTGCATGGGTGAGCTGATGCTGGAGTGACTCAGACCAAAACCTCTTGGTTCATTTTATACCCTTTGGGATAATTCCTCTCTGATCTTCTTGTTTATATAATTGCGTTTGAATTACTGCTCCGTTATCTGAAAGACATCTATTGAAAATTCATACTGAACCCCAAATAAAATGTGTTTAGATAAGCAGAGCTTCCTCTGGACGCTGACATTATTGCAGCATAAGTTTTCCTTTCTCCTATTTCAAAATAAAATTACCCTTTAAAATACATCCTTTATTAATATTTACTAATATCAAAAGGATGCACACAGAAGGAGGAAAAAAACCTTAACATCGTCTAAGTAAGATATGGGGATGAAAATTTATTTAGGGCTTGAGTGCCCCAAATTTTACGTAAGGGCTCATTTAGATGTAAATAAAATTACTGCTAATCTACAAAGCAAAGACAACTTTTTATAGACATCCGGGACAATTGGTACTCATGTTTTTGAGTAAAAAAAAAACAATAAGTTTACGTGTGACACGAACTGAAAGTAAAAAGATGGAAAGAGATATTTCATGCAAATGTTAAGAAAAAAGATCTGGGGTAGCACACTTAGACAAAATAGACTTTAAAACAAATATTTATAAGAAACAAAGGACATAATCCTACATAATAAAATCCTAATATGCAAAAAGACTGAAGGGTGGAATGACCAGTTGCTCTGGTGTGCACTGACCACCAGGGGGCATACACTCAATGCAGGGGGCTTGCCGCTCAGCCAGAAGCCAGGCTAATGGCTGGCGAGTGCAACAGCGGTGGTGGGCGCCTCTCCTGCCTCCGCTGCAGGCAGGTGGTAAGGAACCAGGAGTCCCAGACTGCGAGAGGGCTCATGCAGACTGAGAGACCACCTCCCCCGCCCAGTGCACAAAACTTCATGCACCGGGCCTCTAGTATAATGATGAAGGAATCCATCCAAGAAGATACAATCCTTGTAAACATTTCTGCACTCAACATATAAGCATCTAAATATTTATAAAGCAAATCTTGATGGACATAAAGGGAGAGTAACACAGACAGAGTAGGGAATTTTAACATCCCGTTGACACCAATGGATAGCTCTTACAAACAGAAAATCAACAATACAGCAGCCTTAAAAAGACACACTAGATCTGATTAATTTAGTTGATGTCTTCAGAGTAAATATACATCCTTCCTAAG